GCCACAACAGGAGGAGGAGGGAGCAGAGAGGGATGCAGGAGGGGGGGGAGAGGAGGAGGAGAAGGAGACGGAGGAGGAGGAGTTTGGGGCGTTTCGACAGCCACGCGGAGGAAGAGCAGGCGACCGTCACGGCAGCGCCGCTAGAGGAAGAGGAGGGCGCAGGAAGGGAGCATGAGGATGGGGGCTTCGGAGCTTTCGAGAGCCACGGGGAGGGGGAGGAGCAAGAGACCGTCACGGCAGCGCCACCACAGGAGGAGGAGGGAGAAGAGAGGGAGGGAGGAGGGGACGGCATGGAGAAGGAGGAGGAGGAGGCTGTTTGCTTGACAAAGGGAGGAGGGAAGAGGGATAGCTGCTGTAGTGATGTTGAAAGGCTACCGATGACATTCAAGGGATCTGGGAAGGAGCAGGAGGAGAGTTTGGTGGGAGAGGTATGAATCTTCTCTGTTGTTTTCACGACTGATGGTGTAATCTCAGTATCGGCAAGCCCAGAACGGCAGAGGAGATGATGTCTTTGCTGATGGTCGCGAGGAGGAGCAGGAGCTGGATCAGGAACGTGAGCAGGAGGAGGAGGAGGAGAGAGAGGAAGTGGATGAGGAGGAGCAGCTGGAACAGCTGGAGAAGCAGCAGCGGCAGGAGGAAGAGGAGCAGGAGGGGGCGGTGGAGGATAAGGTCCCAGTGGAAGGTAACGCGGTGGAAAGCTTTACGTTCTTCGGGTCGGAGGGGGAGGAAGCGATTGTACAGAGAGATGGGGAGGAGAAGGCGCGAGGGATGCAGAAAACCGACACACGGTTTGAAAATGCGCGGGAAATGGACGAGGAAGGGAAGGAGGAGGAGGAGGAGGAGGAGAACGAGGAAGAGAACGGGGAGGAGGAGAAGGAGGAGGAGAGGGAAGAAGAAGAGAACAAGGAGGAGAAGAGGGAAGAAGAGGGACAGCCCCAGGAAGAACAAGAGCGAGAGGATGTGGAACAGGAAGCAAAACAGCAGGACGGGGAGACAGTGGACACCAAATTGGAGGAGGAGCTTGTGAATGGCATCAGGAGCCCGGCGTGGGGGGAGGAGGAGGCGGAAGTGGCTGAAAGTCAGCTGCCGAGCTCGTCCTTCCAAGGTCAAGGAGTGACGTTGACAGGACAGGAGCCGGCGGAAGCACTCGATGCTGGTCAGGATGACGACGAGCGGGATGGAGGGGACATTGGAGGAGAAGGAGGAGAAGGAGGAGAAGGAGATGAACCTGGGCTTGAAACCATGGTACCGAATGATGAAGCGCATGTAAGGGAAGGAGAAGCGGAAATGTCTGTAGCAGAGAAGGAAGGGAAGGAGGAGGAAGACAAGGAGGAGGAAGCTTTCGGATCGTTCGGTGGAGCAGAAGCAGAGATGGAGGAACAAGCTGGAGGGGAGGAGGAGGACTTTGAGTGGGGAGGGACGAGCGCCTTTGACGACGCCGAAGGAGGCTTTAGTGAATCGCAGCAGGGCTCAGGAGGAGGAGGAGGAGGAGGAGGAGGAGGAGGAGAGAGCGGAATGGAGGGGGCTCACGATGCTGACTTCGGGACCTTTGCGGGGGAGGACGGAGGTAAGGCATCGACGCCCTTCCCTGTAGCTGACTGTGTGCTGAGACGACGCGTTCGGATCGTTCGGGGAGGAGGAGGGGGAGGAAACGATGGGGTCCGAGTGGCCGGCGGGAGCTGCTGGGGAGGAGCGAGGGGAAGTGGAGGAGCACGTGGCGCGACTAAGTTCTGTGCTTCTCCGCTCCTTCGGCGAGCATCTTAATGTCTGCGCTGCCCCCTCCTACCGTCTGCTTGCTAACTCGTGGTGATGTCAAAGATTGAGGATAAGGACTCCAGCTTGCCGTGGGTCAAGGACGTAGCAAGCAGCGTGCCTGTCTCTGAGGAGGAGGAGGAGGAGGAGGAGGAGGAGGTAGACGAGGACGAAGACGAGGACGAGTTCGGAGACTTCGAGGAGCCTGTAAGGAAGCGTCCTCTTGCTCTTCCTCCTTCCTCCTTCCTTCTCCTCCTTCCTCCTGCACCTCCTTCCTGTTGCTCCTGCTCCTGCTCCTGCTCCTGCTCCTGCTCCTGCTCCTGCTCCTGCTCCTGCTCCTGCTCCTGCTCCTGCTCCTGCTCTTCCTCCTCCCTCCTCCCTCCACCTGACACTCTCTCCGCACAGAGCGAGATCACTGAGGACGGGAGCAAACTCTTTGCGCTCCACCCTCCGCCGCACATGCTTGAGGGCTCTCTCCTCGAGCTGTGGCAGAAGCTCTGTAAGGACCGTGTCACAGGTGGGGAAGAGGTGGGCTGCTGCTGGGGTCTTGCTGAGCGCGGTCCTCAACCAGCACACAACATCGCCTGTGCTCGAGAGCAGTGGGCTGACTCCTCGCAGTGGGACCTAAGCCAACTCCTCCTCGTCGTCTTCAACTGCCAGACGTCTACTGAGAACAAGCGGCTCCTTTCCAACTACATCGGTTCCATCTCCCTTCTCTCTCCCTCCTCTCTTCTTCCTCTTCCTTCCTCTCCCTCCTCCTCCCGTTCTCCAACCTGCTTCCGCTTCTGCTTCCCTCCTCCCTTTCTTCCATGACAGTATGCAACCTTCCTTATCTCCCTCCCTTCTCTCCGCTGATCTCTTCCTGGCGTTTCTTGCCCTTCTCCCCTCACTCCGCCCCTCTCCCCATCCTCATCCCTTTACCCCTCCCCTTCCTTCCTCCTACCTCTCCTGCTTCTCTCTCCCATCTCTCCTCCTCACTGCTCCCTCTCTTGACCCTGCGCCCCCACAGGCCCCCACCCGGGCAGGCAAGAGCTCAGCAGCAGGACCAGCGGCAGTCGAAGCCCCGGCAAGGCAGCGAGGGGGACAAACTTAGGGAGGGTCAGCATGGGCGAGCCCGGGAGGGCAGTCGAGAAAGTCCAGCAGAGAAGTCCAGCAGCGCTGACAGCAGCAACAGCAACAGCAGCAGCAGCAGCAGGAGAAGGAGGAGGAGGAGGAGGAGGTGACAGCTGGTGGGGATGCGAGAGCTTCTGTTTCTCAGGTCAACTTGGCAGGGAGGAGGGAGGTGGCGCGAGATGTGACTGCTGAGTTGAAACTGAGAGGAACGCCGACAACTGTAACCTTCTGCCTCTCTCTCGCCAACTGCCCTCCTACTCCTCTCCTCCCCCTTTCTCCTCCTCTCGTGCCTCCTCCTTCTCCTCTCGTGCCTTCTCCTTCTCCTCTCGCTTCCACTCGCCAGCTGACGGTCTGGCAGTCCGTCAAGGAGTCGCCGGCATCACGTCACAAGGCTCTACGGACGAGCATCGCGCAGGCGCTGGGAGCTGGGGACTTCAACTCTGCTCTTGGGATGCTGCCGGATCTGACTTTCATGCTGGCGGCCGGGGAGCGTGTGACGGTGAGCAAGAGGTGAATGAAGGAGAGGAGAAGTTGATGATTCGATCAGGCGAGGTGAAGCAAAAGATGAAACTCTTGACATGTCCACTGAATGAAACTCTCTTCTGCTTTGGCGATCAAACAACATCTCTTCCTGCTCCTGCTCCTGCTCCTTCTCCTTCTCCTTCTCCTGCTCCTGCTCCTTCTCCTGCTCCCGCACCCTATCGTCATAGCATGACTCCTGTCCCCCATCGCCTCGCCAGGCTCTCGATCTCGTTGGGGTCGTCAAGACAGAGCTGTACGGCGATGGCGCTGGGCGGGTCGACGAGGGGCAGGACCATGGCGACGCTGCTGTCCTCCACCGACATGGAATTCATCCACCGGAAGTCAGCAAGCCCAGCGGGGGCTCCGAAGTGAGAGGAGAGGAACAAGTTTCCGGCCTTCGCCCATGAGTTCCAGCACAGCAGCTTCGGTACCTGCGCCCTCTCCCTGTTCCTCTCCTCCAGCAGCTTCCTGCTGACTTTCAGCTCGGCCGTCTGTGCGTCCACACAGCTCCGGATCCGACGAGCGACTGCTCTGACGTCATCCTCCATCAGATCTGCAACGGGGAGGAGGAGGTGGAAGTCTACGACGTGATTCCCCCACGCCTTCTCCTCCAGGCTTCGTCCTCGCATGTCCGCCAGCACCACGACCCTTGTCATGACCTGCCCCGCGCACCTCGTCCCAGCGAGCGCGCACGCGCACTCAGCTAGGAGGACGTCGTTGATGCTGACGTGGCAGTCGCCTTGTTGGATGCAGCTCCTCCTCTCCTCCAGCTCACTGCGCTGAAACGTGAACTGTAAGATCCTCGGGGAGAAGCCTGGCGATGGCCCGGGGTAGGAGAGGCAGCCCTCGAGGTCCAACACAGCCTGATCCTCCTCAACCGGGGCTGCTCTCCTCTCCACTGCCTGCTGGTAGAACATCGACCATGACGAGATGAAGGAAGCGTAGGACATGCCGTCACCTAGCACATGATGGAACCCAACGAGGAGGGAAGAGCCCTGGGAGCTTGCCTGGGACCTGAGCAGGTAGGACTGGAGGAGCGGCACCGAAGACGTTTGATAGACGCTCCTCTGAACTGTTGAGACAACCCACGGTAGAGTCGACAAGTCATCCATGATGTCCTCGGAGACTTTGACTGCTGTTAAGGAGCTTCTCTCCACCCCCAGCTGAAACTTCCTCCCGTCCTCATGCCTGACCACCCGCGAGCTCGCCTTCGGGAATAGCTGCATGGTCGAGTACAAGGAGCTGCACAGGAGCGAAGGGTCCAAGACACTGCGGAACTTGAGCAGCAGGAACTGAGGCTTGTGAGGGTGGTCGAGGAAGTAGCAGTCGTCTTCGGAGCAGGGGAGAAAGCTGAAGGAGGAGGGGAAGTCCTGTCTTGCGAGGTACGACAAGCAGGACTTGCTCACAGCACTCGTGCCCCCCTGAGCAACAGCCTGCTGCTGGCAGAGGACCAGCGCTGCTCTTCTGATGGCATGAAAGAGCTGAGTGTCGTCTCCCTGCTGCTTCAGCGCTTGCTCCAAGACCGCCAGGATCTGCTCCTTGTCCAACTTGTTGAGGACGGACTTCAGATCTTCAAAGTTCTCGCACATGACAACCTTGCAGTCCTCTCACAATCTCGTTGCTGCTTGCCTCTTGTCACATTCAAGACCTTTCCGCTGTCTTTTGCCGGAATGCTTTTGCCTGCAGCTCCTTTTCTCTTGTTCCTCTTCAGCTAGCAAATGTTCCTTGCCTGTTGGAATCCTCCTCAGGCTCTCCACTCACAAAATACTTGACAAATTTTGCCTCCTGCTCCTCCTGCTCCTCCTGCTCCTCCTGCTCCTCCTGCTCCTCCTGCTCCTCCTGCTCCTCCTGCTCCTCCTGCTCCTCCTGCTCCTCCTGCTCCTCCTGCTCCTCCTGCTCCTCCTGCTCCTCCTGCTCCTCCTGCTCCTCCTCCTCCCAGTGCTCCGGAGAGTCTTTCCGGAGTCACACTACGCCTTTTACTACAGCGACAGCTCCTCCTCCTCGTCGTCTTCGTCAGTTAGTCTCTTCCTGTTTCTCTTCCTCTTCCTCTTCCTCTCCCGCTGCCTCTTCTTCTCACCGTTCGGCTTCTCCTCCCGGCAGCTCCGAGCCTACCGCCTTTCGTGCCCGTAGCAAGCGGCTCCTTACATCCGAGCTCGCCTCGCCAGCAAGCAAACAGATCGGGGGAGGCATCAACTGCTAACTAGTTGGTCCTCGTACTGACTTATCTTGGATAACTAAATGCTCAGCGCTGGCGTTCGGCGGCGGCCGGAGTTCAACGGTTCGCCGGGCGCCCCCCGGGGCCGGGCTCGCTTGGTCCGGGACTCCGGGGCCCGTGCCGCCGGACTGGCTGAGTCAAGTCACCCCGGGCCCGGGGGGTCGACACCGGACCCGTACCGTCACTTTAGTTTCAGTGGGGGGTCAGGCGCTGAGTGGGCAGGATGCCATGATGAGTCGGAGGGTTCACTTGTAACGGTCACCTACCGGGGGGACTGAGGCGGCGGCGGCCAGTGACACCGTCCGTCGGAGCCGCCCTGAGTGGGCCCGACGCGATCCTGGCACTCAAGGAGCCGGGTACTTGAATTTTATTCAATGATTATTAGTTATGAGGTTGGGGGTTGGTCACGTTCTGGTTTATGTGAAGACCACCGGTCATATGTCGCTGACAAACTCATCCGCGAGTCAGATGGGGTGGTCCTTTCTTTCTGCTTGTATAATGGGGTAGGGGTGTATACCCTGACCCACTGAAATATGAAGGATGGAAGCTACACAATCATGGTAGGGTACTACCCCTTGCATCCGAAACTTGCATAGGGTGACAGCTATGCAGACAACAAGTCGCTTTCTATTGGTTGCGGCCTCCATGGTAAGCGATGAAAGGAGAGGAAGGATGAAACATGTTGTTGAGCTTGTCTGAGAGCTTCGAAGAGCTCTCTGCCCGTTCCTTGCTCAATCCGTGCCTTCAACTTCGAACTGTGTGCGGTTGTGAGGTTGCAGGGAGAGCGATCAAAGAATCGTATTTGTGCCTTTGCAACTCAACAGATACTCGAACTTTCATGATCACAACAATCAATGATGTATTCTGCTTACTCAAACATAAATTTCAGGTCTTCTTCACCGGTGTGGAAGGATTCTTCACCCCGGCCTCTTCTTTCGGCCTCATGGCGGGCAACAGAATCCCTGCAACCCCCGTCACATCGCGCAAGCCCGTAAGTCTGATGCCCCTCCAAGAAGCTCGATCGAGCATGTCGAGTCATCAGTTGGCATGACAGTTGAGTCCAGGCCAACATCGTTGCGCCTACGATGGTGGACATCAAGGTACAAGTCAAGGAGGGCGAGCCTATCGAGGGCGCGATGAGGCGGTTCAAGGTGAAAGTAGAGTCAACGCTTCCCATCGGGCCTGACGACTTGCGATTTCCTCCTCTAGATTGCTGTGAGCAAGTCCGGACACCTCATGGAGCTGAAGCGACGCCGCAGGTTTGAGAGCAACAACGAGAAGAAGATCCGTAAGTATTGCAGGGTAGACCGCTCCTCCCTCTGCCTGACCCCCTGCTACCTCAGGTAAGGACAAGGAAGCCAAGCGCAAGCGCAGCCAGATGCGCCGTCAAAGACAAATGTAAAGCTCTCGAGTGCAAGGAGAGCGGCACGAGGCCTGGGCTATGCTCTCAGCCTCTGCTGAGGTTACATGGAAGTAAAGGATGTCGACTGAGCTTGCGGCTCAAGTTGAAATATTATCCGTTCTTCCTTTGTGCTGTGCTCCTGACTCCACCGAAAGTTGATCGCCCGAAACAAACCATGACAAACAGTCAAATTGCAGTGTTGAAGTGAAGTGTGTTCTTATTCGATGCAACACAAAACCTCACAATGCAAATTGACCGCGATGAGCCTAACGATCGAGTTGGAGAATCAAGGATCAAGACAACAGAGCCAAGTGGCAGGCCTCTTATGGAGCAGATCCATAGTGCTGTGCTGACTAACGGCATCTTGCTCGATCAAGACGATTCTCAATCTGCAAGTGTGCCGGTCGTCAGGCGGCTGCAGGTGCAACCATCCTCCTGTGCATCTCGTGACGATGATGCGACCTCGCTCGGCTCTCCCGCACACGCCTCTGCGCAAGGTAGACCTCGCTGTCGGACCCGGACAGCACGGGAGGAGCTGACGAGCACTGAAGAGCATCGAGGATCGGAGGCATGCTGAGGGTGACAGGAGTGCTGGACCTCCCGACCTCTTGAGTCTGCAACCAAGTGTTCGTCCGCACGTCATAGAAGTTGTCGAGCTTGTTCATGGACCACGGGATGCCGTTTTGCCGTGCGACGGTACTGAAGTAGCAGGCGAACGCTTCCACCTCCTCCTGGTTCTGCGAGGCATCGATGTTGTCATAGGGCATCCAGGCACCGATCCAGGTCGGGATGTTTGTAGTCGCCGTCCACCCCACTGCGTCTCTGAAGACCTTGTTAACCCGCTCACGATCCTCAGCACTTCCGGTGCCTGCCCAGTACTTCTGTCCTCCTACCTGCTTGTTCGGGCCAGAGGCATACAGGTGCCATTCTGCCATGAGGTAATGCTGGCCGCTCGTGATGGACGTGTCGATCCTGGAGAGGGAGTCTGCATCCTTGGCCGGAGCTCCTAGAATGATAACTCGGTAGGCGTTGTTTCCTCCTGAGGTGCGGATGGCGGAGATGGCGCGACGAGTCCAGTCGTTGTACTTCGCTGGGTTGTCCTTCAGGTTACCTGTTCCGATCTCCGTGAAGAGGTTGAAGGCAAGCTCGTAGGGCTCGTCCTTGAGAGCCACCGCGACCCTCCTCCACCACTCGACAAAGTTTTCGCCCTGCGCATCTGTGGCTTGCACCTCTGACTCATCGTTGATCCAAGAGATGATGGGCAGAATGTCGTTCTGATACATGTCGGGCAGGATGGTTCGGTAGCCCTGGAACAGCTTGTTCAAGCTCGCGCTGTCGGCAAGCTCAGTGGAAGAGTGGAAGCCGAAGATATCTCCTCTCGTGCGCAGCCGGAGGTTCTTCACGCCCTTGGCCTTGAGGTCTGCCATGATCTGCGAATCATATTTCTTCATGCCATTCTCCGACTTGAAGAAATCCGTGTCAAACCCCCAGCCGATCCTCGCCTGGTATTCAGCGCCAGTGAGGGGGGAGGAGAAAGAGGTGGCAGAGGCGGTGCCGAGGGCAAGGGTCAGCAACATGAAGTACGCGGCGAACGCCACCGACGACGGCATGGCGCACGATGATGTCTCTTTGAACCATCCTCGTACTGATCCTTGAATTTCTGTTGGCGCGAATCTGATGATCGCATCGTTTCGGTCCGGCCAACAGGCTCGAGGAGCGAGAGCCTTTGATATCCAACAGTCAGGGGAGCACACCTCTGATTCCTTAAGTCAGCCTCTAAGTTAGAAGCTGTATCCATTGACCCCTACCTCTCTTGATGCCGCCCGCCGATCTCTCTGCGATGCTGACCAATGTGACTGAAGTGACCAAAGTGGGTCACATCTTGGTGTCTGCGATGTGGAGGGGTCTATGGATACTGCTTTTTACTTAGAGGCCGACTTAAAGAATCGGAGATGCCTTGAAAGGTACTAGCTCTTCAACAGCCATTTGACCACCTGTTTGACCACGGAGATGGTGGCAACTGCTGCTGGTGCTCCGTGCTCGCTCCATCCCTTAGCGCCGCTGCCTCTTCCCGATCTCGCCCGGGCGCGCCGTTCTCATCCCGGCGGAGTCTGATCATAGATGGAGCAAGACCTCAAGGCCAAGGGCGTGAAGAACCTCCGGCTGCGCACGAGAGGAGATATCTTCAGCTTCTACTCTTCGCTTTCACAAGTCAGCTGCCCTCCCTGGGCTACCGAACCATCCTGCCCGACATGTATCAGAACGACATTCTGCCCATCATCTCTTGGATCGCACACTTGGTTGCAGACTCAAGAGGTCGGGAGGTCCAGCACTCCTGTCACCCTCAGCATGCCTCCGATCCTCGCTGCTCTTCAGTGCTCGTCAGCTCCTCCCGCGCTGTCCGGGTCCGACAGCAAGGTCTACCTTGCGCAGAGGCGTGTGCGGGAGAGCCGAGCGAGGTCGCATCATCGTCCCGCCTGACGACCCTCAAATCTGATGATGGACTGTCGCTGGTGAAGAAGCGAGTCATCCAGTAGTGAATCGTCTCATTTCGTGTGAAATCGACCCATGACATGAAACATCAAAGGTGTCAAACCCTAGCGCTTACACCCTGAAGGTCAGTGTTGGTTTCTTTTGTGCAATCAGTCGAGGGGTCGACAGCGGAGTTCTGTTCTGAAAACAGCAGGCATCTCGTGAGAGTTATTTGACCCAAACAACGAGCAGTCGCTAGTGCCCTTGTCACGAAGCAGGCTTGTGGTCTTGACGGTCATCGTCGGAAGCGCTGAATAACCCTGTAATGCCCGCTTCATTACCTGGCTGAGTTATGATCAGGTACTTTGCTGCAGCGTTCGTGATCGTTGAGGTCATGTAGTTTAGCTCCTGCTGGTTTCCTTGACTAGGCTCAGCTGCTGCTTGTCCTGACGCCTTACGATATCTTTGGAAGTTTTCGGATCACCGTTACAAGTAAACGGTGGAGTGGGTTTCTAATGCGATTAGGCGGCGGAGTATGAGGTACCAGCTTTTCATGGCACCGTGATGTCTGCGCAGTATCTTCGATCCCCTTTGGCGCCCTCTGGGCCTTCCTGTCCTCCTTGCAGGAGCCTTGCGCTGCTGGTTTTGGTCACTATCCCCAACTCCCCAACCAGTCACGTCTATTCCAGCTCGGGTTAGTAAGAAAGCAGCTGATTACGCTGCCTCTCATGTTTTCCTTATCGTTGGCTTGGATGGAATAGCTGCTTCTTTGTCGCCTGCCTGAATTGAACTTGTTCAACAAAGCAAAATGTGTTCACAGCAGCGATAGGCGTACCGCGTGAGGCCATCAGTTTCACATCAGGTTGTTAAAGAACGTGTAGGGTGCTAATCTTAGTTGGTTTTATTTGGCAAAGTCACTGGATTCATCCCCGCTATGTGTTTCCCAACCAAGGAAATCAGCAAAGCTCAGGTATAGAACAAGAAAGCTGTTCACGTCAACATCATTCCATGCTTGACATTGACTTGCCATCTTGCTTCCACCTATGACAAAGTCACTCCTAACATTTCACAAACATGATCCCCTTACGTGTGGTTGCAACCACAGCAAACAAAGTAGAGCGAGATTCCTTGTTGAGGACCTGAGACAGCCTGCAGGTAGACAGCTTCTTTGTGATTGCACTGCAAGGCAAGATCCACCGTCAGGTGCTGTTCAAGGTATGAAGCTCAGAGTACCTTGGAGCATGTAACATGGCGAGTTCGAGGCAAGGTTGGATCTTGGGTGATGTCCGCGTTTACAAAGTCGTCGGCCCTTTTGTCCATCAACGCGTCACCGAGACATCAAGGGAGGGAGCAAGGAGGTCAGAAGAGGAGGAGAAGGAGAAACATCGAGACAGGGGAGCTGGTTCAGAGAGGAGCGAAAGAGGGAGTGTGGATATAGGAGTGCATGGCGTGACAGCAAGGAGAAGGGACCAGGTACGTACTTCATGGTATGTTGGACGACGTGTTTCCACACCATGGTACTCTCAGCATCAATACATTGCTTGCGGGATTTCGCGGAGACTATGCAGTTTGCAGCCTTGCAGACATAGACAAGTCTTGATTCTGTAGGATCTGTTTCATCTTTGACCTCCTTGGGATACATGAGATTGTTGCACTCATTGCAAAATTGCATAGAGGTTTGACGATCGTCCGCCATGTTGAGAAGTTGGGTGGTTGAATGTTGACCAATGAGAGCTGTAAGAGACGACAGCAAGCAAGCAAGAACAACTCTCTCCCTTCTTCCCCTCTCCTTCCTGATCACTCTATCTCCTCACCTGCTCCTCGTCCTCGTCCTCGTCCTCGTCCTCGTCCTCGTCCTGCTTCTCCTTCTCCTTCTCCCCTCCACTTCCCTTCCTCGCCCCTCGCACGATTATATCCCTCCTCCCCGCGATGACCATTGCCCAATTACCGTTTCGCGTGTAACGGTGTCCGGAAAGACGTGGCGATGGAAGCGGTGATGGGAATGGTGCCGGAGGACCCGGAGGCGCTTGCGGTATGGCTGGTTCGCTTCACGTCAATGCAGTTTGTAAGATATTCCCCTCTCCCCCCTTGTCGTATGTTGATGGAGGTGAAGATTGTAGTAGGATGAGCTGATGATGATGATGATGTAGATGATGATGATGATGATGGTGATGATGATGATGATGATGATGATGGTGATGATGATGATGGTGATGATGATGATGATGATGATGATGATGATGATGATGATGATGATGATGATGATGATGATGATGATGATGATGATGATGATGATGATGATGATGATGATGATGATGATGATGATGATGATGATGATGATGATGATGATGATGAGGACGATGACGATGATGATGATGATGATGACTATATGATGATGATGACTATATGAGGATGATGATGATCATGTAGGTGATGATGATGATGACTATATGAGGATGGTGATGATGATGGAGATGATGTAGTTTTGGTTATGGTGGTTATTTCCATTGTCAGGAAGGAATTTTGTTGTGACAGGTGTGATGCTTATGACATGCATGAGATATGCTGAGCAGGAATGGTGGGAGATAAAAAGTTTGATGGTTGAAGTAGACTGAAGGATATGATGATGGAAGAAAACGAAGAGATGTAGTAGTTCGTTAGTAAGAGACAGTGCACAGCGAGAATTAAGAAAAATGAACATTCAGAAAGTCAGATATCCTGTGTCTGCGACAAGTTTTGATCGAAAACGATTATAATCCCGTGATAGTTCTCAAGAGCGATGTCTAGGTAGTTCTCGAGAGACCTCTGAGTTATGTTGGAGGAAACATCATCCGTACACGGTCCTGCAAGTGCTGTGAGAGCCAAGAGCACTAGCTGAGATCTGAAACGAGCGAAACTCAGGAGGTAGGGCTGTAAGGAGGAAGAAGAAACAGAAGGAGAAGGAAAGAGGACAAATATAGAGGAGGTGGTGTATGGTTGACATGACCAGACGACTTGCTTTCTTCGCCTGTCCTTCCCTGACCAAACTCATCGCAGGGAATCTCATTCTTCACATCGATCACCCGTACTGACAACAATGGCGCGCTTGCTCTGTTAGGACTCTACGCTTCTTTCGGTACTTGTCACCTTGCCTGGTTTGTTTCTGAAGCTGAAATCTCCGTCTCAGGGAAACGATGCGAAGCTACAAAACTCTACTTTGTATTTTTGCTCCTGTCATGCGTGACGGATTTCATTTGGATGTATATATACGGGAATCAGATATCAGGTCGACCACAACAGGCTCGGGAAACTAGCAGCGTCTTACCTTCGCAACAGGTGCTGAGATGCAAGAAGCGCAGAATGAGTGGGAGGATTACGCGTTTCCTCCCGTTGGAACAGCCAAGTTTGTATTGGGAATGTCTATCATACAATTCATGATCAAGGTTGCTCCTGTTCTTTGCTGACAGCGCTGTTGATTTGTGTCCTGCCCTACAGATTGTTTCGATTCCCTTCACATACAAGCTCTTTTCCAGCATGGACTCAAGTTTGCCGATCCCGCAGGCTACCAGGCGAGAAACTCTTCTGTGGTTGATTGCGAGTCTGATGAACGTGTCGTGGCAGTGCAAGAGGATATGGCGTTGCTTCTTATCAGAGTGATGCCAGCTATCAGGTTTGGTTCCTTTCATCTTGTTGTAGACAACGTTTGATGAGGGTGCTCTCAGAACTCTGGGAAAGACGAACTTTGATCGTGCCTGATCTAAGATTGAGTTTTCATTTTCTAGTTCACACAGGAATAAAGTACAACTATTCATGCACCGGGAGTGCTGGTAGAGGCATTGGTTGCATTCTTCTTCTTATGCTTCCTCCTCTTCTTCTTCGCGCTCACTTCATGAACTTACGTAAGCATTTCTCTCAGCGCTTGTCAGCTAGTTGATTTACCTTGCTGCTTCGGTTTTGACGGCTTCTTGACTGATAATGGGTTTACTCCTGTACGTCCATGTTGTCAGGCATGCTTGTGTATCCTCCTTGTTCCCTGCCCCCGCGTTCTCAACCTGATCTCTTCCCTCCGCCACCATATCCTCGTCCTCGTCCTCGTCCTCCTCGTCCTCGTCCTCGTCCTCGTCCTCGTCCTCGTCCTCGTCCTCCTCGTCCTCCTCGTCCTTGTCCTCGTTTCCATTCTTATATCTCTGGTCCTCCTTCTCGTCCTCCTACCTCTTCTTTCTGTTTCCCATCCACCTAACAAAACTTCTCTTCCTCGCCATGGCCCTCTACCAGCTCCTCGTCCCTACCTTTCGGTCCCTTCCACTTCTTGGATGGTTTCTCCTCCTCCTTATCGTCCTCGCTATCCGTCAATTTCCTCTTGATTGTCTATCGTCTCATGTGAATTGAGAGGGACAGGAGGAGGATGGGGAGATGGAGGGAGGAAGAGAAGGGAGGAAGAGAAGGGAGGAAGAGAAGGGCAGGGGAGGACGAGGAGGTCCAGAAGGGGAGGGGGATGATAAGGACGAGGAGGGGAAGAGGCAGGCGCGGGGTGGGGCAACAAGAAGGTAGAGGTTGGGTACCTTGATTTCCTTTGGGCTTGCGCTGCACTTTTCTTTCTCCCCTACCAAAACGCATGAGGGGAGAAAAGACGAGGAGGAGGACGACGACGACGACGACGACGACGACGATGATGATGATGATGATGATGATGATGATGATGATGATGATGATGATGATGATGATGATGATGATGAGGACGAGGACGAGGAGCAGCAGGAGGGCAAGGAGGAGGAGGAGCAGGAGGAGCAGGAGGAGCAGGAGGAGCAGGAGGGGAGACGCTGCTATAGGAGGCAAACTCACTTTTCTTGGCTCCCTCCAGCGTAGCTGCTGACGGGGGATCGAGTGCTATTCTCCCCGACCCCTTGTTGCCCGTGATGTACAGCAAGGGAACAGCCTCCACCTTCCTCAAGGCTTCTTTGAGGACTTTGTCCTGCGTCGCTACCACATAGTGCTGAGGGTTTCCGTCTGCCACTATCCTCTGAATACACTCCCTCGCCAGCCCCTCGGGACACTGGCATCGAATGCATTCGTAGCGCTTGGCTATGAGGGAGGCGCCGGAGACGGCGTCTCCTATCTTCGATAGCTCCTTCCTTACACAGTTTGTGACTACAAGGTTGCAAGGGGTTTGGAGCAGGGCAGGGACGGCTTCTTTAAGGTATAGCTTCAGGTCCAGACCTGCCTGTCAAGGGAGGGTCAGGGCGATGGCGAGGAGAGAGGAAAGCTTGGGAGGGGCGCGGGAGATGAAAGGTGGAGAGCAAGAGGGAGAGCATGAGACGAAATTAAACTCCGCTGTTCCTTCCTGCTCCTGCACTTTCTCTATGTAGGAAACGAGAGGGAAGGATGGGGAGGGAAAGGAGTCAAAATGACAGCGAGCGAGTGGCAACGGAGCGGCTCAGCATCAAACCTGCAAGAAGTTGCCGTCGCAAATGACTCGGTAGGGAGTTTTGAAGCCGAAGGTGTGGTTGTACAGAGACATCAGCTTCCGAACTTGCTTGCTCTGCTTCACTTTCATCTTGTCTCTGGTTTCCTCTTGATCTACCTGCCGCCCCTGTCAAACCCTCTACAAGTGCGGCAAGGTCACTCTTTCTATCCATAGCAACCAAGATCCCTGCTTCAACTCCGCCCTCTCTCCTCGTCCGCTGTGTGAAGTCCCCTTCCTCACCCCTCTCGTTTCTCCTCTCTCCTCAATCATCCTGATTTTCCCTCAACCGCTTCGTCCCTTCACTCCTCCTTGGTTCTGCCTCTCCTGCCTCTCCTGCCTCCCCCCCCGTCCTCCTTCCCTCCCTCAATTTTCACGTGCGCATTTCTGGGCCCGGGCCCGGGTCACCCCGCCGCCCGGCCGCGCGGCCGCCTAGAGAGCCGCTAGTACTGAGACTGAGGAGGCGGCCGCCGCCGCACTGTGGGCCCAGGAGCACTGCCAGGCTGGGGCCGCGAAAGACTACCGCTGGGCCCGGGGCCTCAGGGCCTCCGACACTACACTGAGTGCGGCCGCCTGACAATCAGCCGCCGGATGACTCCGCCCGGGCCGGCGGGCGCCGGGCGGCCGAGTCGCCGGGGTGCCGCCCCGTGACGGTCAGTGGCGCCGGGCCGCACGGTGGCACGGTGACTGCGGCCTGACTCACTGGCTCAGTATCATGAGTAACTTCAGTTTGACAGGGCGGGCCGGGCGGCCTCACTGGCCCGGCCTCCGAGGCTCAGGGCCTGGCGGCCCGTTGAACTTCAAGAATCAGTCCCATCATACTTGTCCTCATACTGATTTTTAACTTGACTTTGAAAAAACTTGAGAAGTCTCCAAGGCTAGTACGGCGGCGCGTGACGTGCCACAGTGACTCAGCGGACGGGCCCGGCCCGGGCCGGCGGCGGCGGCGCGGCGGCCGGGCCGGCTCGGGCCGCAAGGGCGTGATCGGACTGACTCGGACTGTTTACTCAAAACTTGACCGACCGTACCGTTGAAGGGGCCCCGCACTTTGACCGCACGTCACTTTTTTTTTTACCTAGTGGTGCGCATGGCTCTCTAGGCTTTAAAATTCCGAGCTCTTGAGTTTTATCCCTGAAGCCGTGACGGTCAGCAGCTTGCCAGGTATCAGCTGTGCGCGGCAATAGTGCGATAGGCGCAGGTGTCCCCTCCCCCCATCCCCATCCATTTCTGTATGTGGATCACTAATTCAAAAGACCCATGGTCCCTCCTTGACCCCACGCAAGGGCATGAAACGAAAACATAGTTTTTGGTGTCATTTAACTGGGACCTATGGACAGCGCCATGACCTTTGCCCCCGACTTTAAAACTTAAAACTGCTTCGAAAAGATTCAAGTTCGTGACAGCCAAATTACCAGGAACCCAATCGTGACTACCCGTCGTTGTCCCCCGCCCAGCCATACCACCCCCTGGTCTACAGGAGGACCGAAGGGTCTGTTCGCCCTCTACGACGACTGCAGTTGACGGACCTCCGAACCACTGCAGATCTCGCCTGGATCTCAGTTCTATCTCGCAGCATCTACCTATTTTAAAATAATATTTTAAGATATCTTGCAACGGTTGGTTCCCCCAAGAGTCTCATCGTTACCCCCTAACACCCCAGAAGAGGCAAGGGGGTGGGTGGTGCTACAGACGCTCAATAAGTCCTATCGCAGATTTTTACCACTGGGATGGGGGTAGGGGGGGGCAGGGTCGTATTGCGATGTCATGAGGTTAGCGGGGGTGGGGGTAGAAACGCACAAGAGAATGGGGGTGGGTGTACCGGCGCAGGTTAATAAATTGGGGTACAGCCAGATCCGTCCCCTTACCCCTACCCACTTTTTACAGTAGAAGAAGGGGGTACAATGATAGTTCTGGAGTACCCCCGCCTTGGACAACCCCACCCCCCTTCCCTCCACTTCTCAACCCCCTTGAAAAGAATTTATACCTTGTCTTGCCCCCTTCTCAGCGTTTCCTGTCCAGCCCGTTGGCACTGCCCTCAGGCAACTTGTTTGATCCCCCCCCCCCCCTCCTTCCACCTTCTCTCTCTTCCATCCTCCTCCTCTCCGTCTCCCACTCCTTCACTCCTCGCTCTCCTTTCTTGTTATCGCAACTCAAGCTTCTGTTGTGCTTCCAACGCCCCCAAGTGCGCCCCTTTCCCTGCCGATCCCACCATCCCACCACATAGTTCTGCAATTTGTCAAAAATGCGTAGGCCATCTCAGCCGCATTCAGCCCTAGAGCAGGAGCTTGCTATGCTCCTGCACACTCAGAAGCAAGTAGAGGAGGGCTACCCAACCATGTACGGCCAAGAGTACGAAATGACCCGGGAAATTCGAAACCGGGTGAGGACGATCAAGAATCGTCTTGCTGCAAAGAAATCGAGGGATCAGGCCCGGACGCATGTGCAGAAGCTCGAGAGCGGCATATCCGAGATCTCCTCCCGCAACGAGACCCTGTCGAAGAAGTTGGAGATCACCGAGGCTGACAATGTGAAGCTTCGAGAGGAGGTGTCAAGGTTGAAGGAGCGAGTAGCCGAGCTGGAGAGGAGCACAAACCCTTGCACGGATGCTCGAACGCTCGTCAACTCCGGGGCAGACGTGAGTGCCAAGTTCAAGGGAGAGTATCCCATCCACCTTGCTGCGCTCTACGGCTGCTCGCTGCCCGCCCCGTTCGAGGGTCAGCCATGTGTCCTGCAAGTTCCTGCGAGCTCCGATGCGCAAGCGCGTCAGAGCAACATGTGCATGCACAAGGACGTGATGGAGGGAGCTGAGAGGTTCGAGCAGAACGTGGCGGCGCCTCCACCAGCTACCGAGCCTTTCGTCACTGTCAAGTCTGAGAGACGGAGGGCGCAGAATAGGGACGCACAGCGGCGGCATCGTGAGCGCCAGATGTTCCTGCAGAGCAGGGAGCCGCAGGCGGCTCTAGAGTACGACATGGCGGCCTACAGGAGCGATCTCAGCGCTATGCATCCTGAACTGCTTGTTTCAGCTGGAGCTGGAGCTGGAGCTGCGTTCCGAGGGAACGCTGAGGACGAGAGCTCGCAAACGACGCAGGATAACGACCAGGATAGCAGCAATTACAGCTCCGAGGAGTACTTCGAGCCCGCAGGCAAGATGGAGTTTGATCCAACCTCGTTCCCGGAGAGCCTCTCCAGGAAGGGTTCGTTTGGAAGCTTGATCCTCTCACGAAGACCATCCGACGACATCAAGGAAGTAGACATGCTCCTGCAAGCAAACATGCAGTACATGGAGCCGATTTGAGTTCAAGGCCACGGAAGACTTCCTTTTGAATCATCTGATACCTTGCTACATTCATATATAATAAATTGTTTTCTGCTGTTATCCCCATCACTTCCGCGTCCCTTGCATCACCTTCAACCTTCACATGATCGCACATCTGCTCGCTTGCTTCCTCTTTGCCGCCTGCTTGTCAACGTTGAACGCGCTCAGTTCCTTCTCCAGCTGAGATCCGAGCACATTCAGTCGCGTTGAAAGTCTCCTCCACCTCCCATACCTTCTCTCTTGCGTGCTGCTCAACGATCGCCCGCTGGCAGGGATACATTTCCGGCTCATCCCATGCTACCTGCCACGTGCCGTCATGACGGGCCCCAATTCCTCCTCCTCCTCCTCCTCCTCCTCCTCCTCCTCCTCCTCCTCCCACAGGCGCGTGGAGGATCTTGCAAAACTTGTCGAGGTCGATTCGTCTGGCCTCCCCCGGCAATGTCACCTGCCAGGGATGTGATTGGAGGAGGGGGCAGGGTGGTCTAGGTACAGCATGCATCATCGCATCGTACTCGTGCTCTGTCCATGGCTTCCCCAGCTTCTTGGCCAGGTTGGTGATGTCCTGTTGTAGCAGTGAGGAGGAAGAGAAGGAGTTGCATGAAGCGAACTTGTTGGGTCAGGTATCCCTTTGACTGCGCATCGAGGTCGAGGAACAGATCCTTGAAAGCTTGCCGCTGCTCTTCTATCACTCTTTGAAACCATCATCATCAGCGACTGAGTCTGGGCCGTCGCAAACATGTCGTAGCAGTTAGACATACTCACATGTTGTATACTTCCTCCCTCTCTTCTTTGACCTCGGCAAGTTCTAGTTTGACTCTCTCAACTTCTTTCCTGGTTTCTCCTTGTTCAGTCTCAGAAACAAGCACATCTGACGCTACCCTCGCGGCATGAGCTCTATCCTGTACTCCAGCTCCTTCTCTCGTTTGATCTGAACTCTCTTTGTCATGACACGAGGAGGGCAGGGGATGCGATGGTATCACTTTTGCCTCTTGCTCTTCTTCTTCAATCCTTTCCCCTAGCTTGACTACCCAGAGAACAAACTGTGGGAAATCCATGTACCTGCGACTGATTTAGAACATGTTAATGACTGCGATCGTATCTCCGGCACCTGTCTCCTTCCACACTGATCGGAAGGTCGTCCAGATAACTTTCAAACTCTTCCTGAAGTCATCGTATATTTAGAGCAGAGGAACGTCAATAAGGATAGGAAGGGAGGGCTAAGAGAGAGGGAAGAGACTTTGAGGGAAGGGAAGGGAAGGGAAGGGAAGGGAAGGGAAGGAAGGGGGGAAGACTGGCAACTGGAAAGTAATGAGCTGACTTCGGAGTGTTCATAGCCGAAAGATTGCATGACAAGCTTGAGGTCCTGCACGCCAATCCTCCCATCCTTGTCCGTGTCAAAGATCCTCCTGAGGCAGCATTAAGGACGTCTGGCCCAGTTTTACTCGTCTAGTCTAGCACTCGTCTACTTGTCTACTCTAGCCCATAAACGCATTGCTCCTGCGTCTAGCTTGTCATCTGCGTATGATGCATCGATCAACTTCTCCGTAAGAACTGCTCTTCATCCAAACTTCATTCCCCTGGACCTCCTACACAATATCAATTCCTGCTAATCTAAGGAGGGCCAATGTTGTAACTGAGCATTCCTCTGCTGCTAAGGCCGCAGCTGGGTTCAATGGCGGTGAAGACGGTGGAACTTGTAGCTGACTGACGCAAATCCGGGAGTCCCTTCCTCCTCCTCCTCCTCCTCCTCCTCCTCCTCCTCCTCCTCCTCCTCCTCCTCCTCCTCCTCCTCCTCCTCCTCCTCCTCCTCCTTTCGTCACGCATCTCACCACGCTTCCTTCAGGTGCCGCCACTGCTCGTCGTTCAGCGCTTGCATGTCGGATAGAGAACGATTGAAAAAAAAGTCAAAGCCTAGAAAAAGTTTACTCAACTCTTCGGGGTCCGACTGCGTCGGCCCAGTGGCGAGTCAATGGACCATCCGAGCCTTCATACGCTGGGCGCCGGAGGCCCGGCCTGGGTTTCTGACCGAGCCTGGCAAGACGGTTCAACGGTTAGTCAAGTTGAGAGTAGTACGTTTATTACAGTTCATTCTACAGTGACTAGTCACAGTTACCAAGTTACAACAATTACAGTCAGCCAGATGTGCCATAGGCTGTTAAAGCGCATGGAATGGGGAGAGGGAAGAAGGGGGAAGGGGGTAAGTAGAGGAAGAGTCGAAGGAAGAGGAGGCTGATAGAAGAAAGGGACTGGCATACGAGAGGCTGAATAAATCATTCGAGGCTGGAACTCTAGCAGAAAGGAGAAGGAGAAGGAAAACAGCACGAGGAAGAGACGAGGAGGAGAAGTGGAAGGGAGGAGGAAGGGGAAAAAGAGCGATGGGGAGAGGATAATGAAACAGAGGTCCGCCCATAGAATCTCACAAACTTGTCTGAACCCAGACGTGGAACGAGGATACGAGGAAACGACGAGCAGAACGAGTCCTGAATGTCTTCTCCAGCTGCCTCGATCTCTTCCTCTCCCTCTCCTCTTTCTTCCACGCGCTCAACAACGTCCTGCAAGTCCACCTGGTAAACATCCGCACCTGACGCTCCTGCGCCCTTACAAGGGTCGCGCGCGATGCTGCGAGTCGTTCAGAGAAGGAGAGGAGGAGGAGAAGCTCCGACCTCCCTGCCGGCACGTCCGTCGCTTCCATGCTCCATAGGCTCTAGCAAGCGGCTGCTCCGGCTCGTCAAGGTATGGAGGGAGAGGAGGGGAGACAGCAAGGGGAATGGGGCCTGGGTTTGGGATGATGGAGAGAAGGGGCCAGAGGAGGGAGGAAGTGGAGGGTAGAGAAGGAAAGAGGCCGAGGAGAGGAGGGAGGAAGACGAGGAGGGGAGAAGGTTGGAGGAGAGGGGCAGATGCTGAGCGGTAGGGGTGATAGTAGGAAGGGGAAGTACAGGAGAAGTAATGTTTGTTGGCACCTTAATGTCCACTTGCTGCATGCGAGCAAAGGTTTGAGATTGAAGTTCCTTCCACAGGAGCAGAAACGTTCTTGAACAGCTCCTCCGCACTTGTCCTCCTCTCCTCCTCCCCTCAGCCTCCTCGCAAACCTGTCGAGCATCTTGAGAATCATGGCAGGTGCTGGGCATCTAGTACCTCCTTCCCCTTCTTCGCCGCCTCCTTCATCCCCAGCACGCAGCGAGCAAGTAGGTGGACGCGCTCCTGCTCGTCCTTCTCACCCTCCTCCCCATCCCTCGACCGTCTCACCTGCTGTTGGAGATGCCGGGCAACGGCAAGGCGGCGAGTATGAAGCAGCCAGGGGATGAAGCAACGGCGGAGAAGCAGAAGGAGGGAGGAGGAGGAGACGACGCGACTAGCTCGCTTCAACCTCTGACGATCTGTGGATTCGTCCGAAGGTCAATGAGGAGGAGGAGGAGGAGGAGGAGGAGGAGGAGGAGGAGGAGGAGGAGGAGGAGGAGGAGGAGGAGGAGGAGGAGGAGTTGTGTTGGTGGTGTAGGAGGAGATCGTGGTGGGAAAGGGAAAGGAAGCACAGGAGAGCGAAGCAGCGCAGCACCTGATCGCACGCTCCTCCACGCCGCCATCACCGTCGCCTTGCTCGCATGTTCAGATCTGCTTGTGAGACTGAAGAATCGACGACCAAGGACGAGCTTGACGTCAACACGCGAGCGCCAGAGGAGGAGGAGATTTCTTGAGGCAACCCGGCGAGCGTTGAGGAGGAGGAATTTGCTGCGTCTATTCAGGCTCGTGGCCCCCCTCCAGGCTGCGAGGTGAAGGTGGCGACAGTCTCTTGCTACCTGCCGCTCCCTCATGCGGAGAAGACGATCTGAGCTCTGCGCTTGCTCCTGCTGTGAACGGAGGCAATCCTTCCAGTACGACAGAAATTTCGCCCTCTTCCTGCTCCTGCACCTGGTGGAGGCGTCCCTTGCTCTTGCACGACAGTGAGCATGGCGGCGGAGGTTGATGATGATCCAAGAGAGCAACTGACGTCTCGTCCGCCTGACTGCCAGCATGCCAACTTTGTCGATCAAGTTCGAACTGCCGCAAACACCTCGCCACGACCTCGTAGCAGAGGAAACAAGTTCCCATCGCCGTTGCCTTGCCGCCCTCCCAAGAAACTTGGTCTGCTCCACCCTACGTAACCAGCGACCCCAGAAAGTTTTCCTCCTCCTCCTTACCATTCTTACATCAAACAAAATCTCTCTGTGTCTCTCGAGCCCTCTAATATGCACAAGTTTGCGAAGACTGCAAAGAGCAATGAATTTCTCTCTCCGGCTTCTTCTTTCCATCGCCTTGGACATAATACACCTGACAAGTGCATAACGGCATAATGATTTGCCTCTGCCCGGCACAAGAGATTTCCAGCATTCAAACTTGTCGTTCAGCAAGCTTCTCCTCTCCCTTATCAAGAATCTCCGCAGGCGGGAGGAGGAAGAACTCAGCGTCCTCCAAACACCGAACGACCCTCTGAGAGAGTTGATTGCTGATCTCTTCCTGTATATTATCATAGCATGCCTCTCACATCTCGCATGTTGGGCATTCATGAAGAATGCCTCCACAGCAATCCGTGCCAAGATGTGTTTATTCTGCTCGGATTCGATTTCACACCTCAACGTCTTCAACAGCAGCTTCTGTCTTGTCTTGGTGATCATGCCTTCTGCAAGCCCGACTCTGTCTTGCAAGCATCTCAACGACGCTCCGTCCTCCTCGCTCCTCCTCTTCACTTCCTCATCCCGTCTCAACAGCTGCTCCGAAACCGAGTCGTAACTTCGCTTCAGCTCTAGGTAGTGTGACAGGAGCTGCTGTGCCTGTCCTGCTATTCTCTCAAGCTCGGACTCCAGAGACGAGCATCGCTGAGCAAGAGCTTGCGATCTCTTGCTCTTCAGCTTCGAGTCCACCTGCAGCACGATCTCCAGCATCCATCGCTTCCTCTGCTCGTCGTCAGCCACGATGAAGAAAGTTCGAGACGAAGGCGAGCGGGAGCCCCTGACGAGAGACTCCCTTCCTCTTGCCGCAGGGGACGCGCACGACTGGCCGGCAACGAGCTGCATGCTGGACCCCATGGAGAGGAGCTGGAGGCTATCGAAGTCCAGCTGGCCGACCACCTGGTGCGTCTTGAGCTCCGGTGGGTCTGCGCAGAGGTAAGCGCTAAGAACGAACTTGTCCTCGTCGCTATGCAGGCGCGAGGAGCCGTTGGAGGAAGAGCCTCCTTGGCTGTCTTCATCTGCTACATGCTCAGCGGGCCCTTCGGCAGCGTCCTCTGGTCATACATACGCTCTGACCCCCGCGCCGTCATCTCCACCATGCATGAGAACGTCATGAGCGCCAGGGTACAGTGGCTGGCATGCGGAATCTTGCAGAGCTTGTCGTCCAACCCGGAGAAGAAGGAGGAGATGGTGAAGCTCGGAGCGATCCGAGCCGTTGCCGAGGCCATGAGGAAGCACAAGGGGGTCGTGGCGGTCCAGAGGGAGGGGAGCGGTACCCTGTGGAACCTGGCGAGCTGCGAGGAGCACGACAAGAAGATAGCGGAGGAGGGAGGCGTGTCGGTGCTGCTAGAGGCGATCAAGCGCCATGGCACGGACGTTCAAGTCTTCTGCAACGCGTGCTGGGCCCTCGTCAACCTCTCCGTCCGCCCGTCCTTCCGCTCCAAGATCCTCCAGGAGGACGCGGCTGACATCGTCATCTCCGCCATGAAGAAGCACCCCTCCCTTCCCCGCGTGCAGGAGACCGGGTGCCGCCTCCTGTCCAACCTCTGCCTCGACAGCGCAGCCAGGGCCCAGCAGGTTGCTCAGGCAGGCGCCATCGACGTGGTCGTGCGCAGCGTCAAGGCTGCGCCCGGCAACACGCGCATGGCGCTGCATGCTCTGTGGACGCTGGGGAACCTGGCGCTGCATGCGGACAACAGAGGGAAGATGAAGAGGAACGGAGTGATCGAGCTGGTGCTCAAGACCATGAGGGTGCACATCAAGAGTAGCGCGGTGATGCTCAAGGGCTGCGTCCTGCTCAGCGCGATGGCCGGCAGCCGCGACTGCGGGGAGGAGATCCGGAGGGGAGGAGGAGAAGAGCTGGTGAAGGCTGTGATGGACCAGCACGCCAAGAGCGAGGAGGTCATGAGCAAGGCAAGGGAATGCCAGGCGATTCTGTCCCAGCTGGGGAAGTGAGGGAGATCAGGAGGGGGGGAACCAGGGAGGGAGGGAGGGAGGGGGACGAGGGAGAGAGGGAGAGGGGGAAGGGAAGGATGCAGAGGAGTTGGGGAGGGGGGAGGAAGATTTGGAACTGTTTCTCTTTGCCAGAACGAATAAAACAATACGTAGGAGCAGCTACAGGTGAACTTGAAGGGGCGAGGGGGGGGGAGGGGGGAGGAGGAGGAGGAGGGGAAGGGGAAGGAGATTTTCAACTCTCCTTATTGAAGAAAGAGAGGAGGGCAACAGCGAGGAACGAGCTGCCGAGAAGAATCCTGCCCTTGACGTTGCCTGTCCTACCAAACTCCCACTTCTGCCTGAGAAGCAGTCTGTGAGAGGCTCCTTGTAGACAGGAGAAGAAAGGTGAAAGGAAAAGATCAAAAGGAGGGGGGAGGGGGAGGAGGGAGGAGGGAGGAGGGAGGAGGGAGGAGGGAGGGAGAAGCAAGAGGAAGGGGGAGAAGTGAGAGGATAAGGAAGAGGAAGGAAGGAGAGCGGAGCAGAGGAGCGAGGAGCGGGGGGAGGTACGAGAGGATGTGGGGTCGAGGCCTTACCCAAGGGGCTTTCCTGGCTCGGAGGAAGAGGCAGGCAGCCAGTTGCGCATGATGTCCCATGACGCCATCTTCTTGTGGGTCCTCGCAAGGATCCGGTCGAACTAGAGCAGTGTCAGCTCCTCCTCCCCTCCTCTTCCTCCCCGCCCGACCTTGAGCTTCCTGCTCCTCCTGCTCCCTGTGTAGGCTGCGTCGTAGAGACGCTCTGTGGTGTGAAGGTGAGGGACATAAGGGGAGGGAGGAGGGAAGTGAACGTGGGGAGGGGAGGAGAGGAGAATAAGAGAGGAGAATAAGAGAGGAGGAGAGAGGCGAGCAGAGTTGGGAAGCGGTTGTAGAAGCAGAAGGGGAGATTGAATAGGAGGGGGGATGGGAGGGGGAAGGAGGCAGGAGGGAGTTCAGCCAAGTACCTGTTGCTGCCTCCCATGATAGCCGATATCTGTCGTTCTCGGTGAGCGGGGCTGGGTCTGCAGTGGAAATGAGCGGAGGAGAGCAGAAGTAGTCTTGATCAAACTCAACCCTCTCCTCCTCTATCCCTCCCGTACCAGTCTCCCCTAAATTCCAGTCTCATTCCTCCCTTATCTCCCCTTATCGCTCCCCCCTGTCCTCTCCTTTCCTCGCCTTTCCTCTCCTCCCTTCCCTTTCCCTCCCCTCTCCTCCTCTCCCTCCCTAACCACTCCTCGTCCTCCTGTCTGCCTCTTGTCCTCTCCTCAAGAGATCGGCTCACCCGCTGCCATGGCGTGCTGAATGCAGAGCTTGAATTCCTTGGCGGTGCTGTAAACAAAGCTGGGGAGAAAGGGAGTAACCAGACAGCCACAGCAGAAGAACCTTCTCAATCCTTCCTCTCCTCCAGCACCGGTACCAGCAACCCCTTCTCCTCCTCCTCCTCCTCAACCACCACCAGCTCCTGCTCCTGCTCCTGCTCCCGCTCCTGCTCCTGCTCCTCCTCAACCACAACCAGCTCCTCCTCCTCCTCCTCCTCCTCCTCCTCCTCCTCTCTATCTATCTATCTATCTATCTATCTATCTATCTATCTATCTCCTCTTTCCTTCTTCAACATCTCCTTCTTCAATAACCTTCTCCACCAGCCCAAGCATCTCTCCCACTCACGCACCAGTTGCGGAAAGTCTTGAAGAATTCGTTGGAAGGATGGTCGGCACACACCACAAACTTCCCCATCGCAAGCGCCTCGGCCGTGGTCGTGCAGACGACGTCGCTCAGGCTTGGGTTGATCATGACCTTGAAGTCATGGATGCGACTGTTGGCATGATCGCAAGCGCCATGGAAAGTCCAGTCGAGCCCCTCCTGCTTCACTTCCTTCTTGATCAGCTCCTCGTCCGGCCCGCTGCCGAAGATGTCAACGTGCAGGTTCTCCCCGGTCTTCCTCCTGTACTCCTTGAGGTTCACGAACAGCTGGCGGTACCCTTTGGACCAGAGCATCTTGCCGATAAAGTACGCTCCCTTGGAGAATCTTGACGAGCCGAAGATGGACGGGCTCATCTTGCTCACTCCGATGTCGATGAAGTTGCTCCTCACCCCGTGGATGTTGCATGTGATGGAGTGAGGGAACTTCTGCACGGCGTCTGACAGTTTGATGATCCGATGGCAATACGCGCGCGTGCACATGGCTGTGGCCAGCCCGAGCACAGCGGCCCTTGCCAGCCTCAACGGAGGAGGGACCTGGTGGTCGTTGATAGCGTAGTTGATGTAGTTGGTATGTACAACCCCAACCACGAAGTTGAACACCTTGGTCCAGTCGTTGCCCATGTGGTACCACGTAAGGTGCTCCGGCTCCTCCAGGATAACAACGTCTCGCTCGCTCTCAGGTATGATCTCTGTGATGTCTCCTAAGGCGAAGATGCTGCCGTAGATGGGCACGTAGTGGCCCTCGTAGAAGACAAGCTTGATGGAAGTTGGCCTTCCCAGGTTCTTCTTGACCCAATCTCTGCAGCAGCAGGTAAGCAACACAGGGAGGCAGGCAGGCAGGCAGGCAGGCAGGCAGGCAGGCAGGCAGACGAGGACGGGGAAGCGGACGGGGAGGACGGGGAGGACGAGGAGGACGAGGAGGTCAGGAGCGCACAAATGCAGGAGGAGGAAGGAGTTTCACCTGATCCATTCCGCCTGCTCGGACGGGCTCTTGAACCTCAAGTTGCCGAAGATATAGGGCTGCTGCTCGAGAGAGACCCAGGGGAGACAGAGAGTGACTGAGTGCTGCTCCTTCCTCATCTCCAAGTAGACGGCTCGTAGGAGCGGGTTGATCGCCGTTCCTGTCATCCATGGCATGCTCGCAGTTGTGAAGACAGCGATGTATCGACTTCTCCCCCTCAGATCCGAGAGCTCGGCGAAGGTGGGTACAGAAGATGGCTCCAGCGGCTTGATAGCCGCACTTAGATCAACATGGAAACTGAGAAGCAACAAGAAGAGGAGGAAAGATGAAGCTGCGAACTGTCTTACGTGTTTCGAGACCATGACCAACGACGGCTCGGTGTCGATGTGAAAAATGCGTCTGCCGGGGCCTCTTGGAATCCCCGGCCAAGAGAAGGAAAAGATTACAACCAGGTAGGATGGGAGAGGATGGAGACGGTTGAAAGGTTGGTGAATACTCGTGTCCCCTGGAAAGTTCAAGAGCAATGCTCGGCAGGGAACAGGGTTCGATCTCACAGTCTATCCCAACCTCCACTGCCCTTATTCGCTCAGTTTTGCAAACCAATGATATCGTGGATCAAGGTATCGTTGGCTCATTCACTGGCTCTATCTTGAAGCATCATCATCTGCTAGCATCCTCTTCTCCTCCCTGCCTCTCCTTCCTCTCCCTTTCCCTGTCTCGTGACTCGTTCCCGCCATGGCCGCCCGCGGCCCCTCTACTAAGTCTGAACTTTTAAAACTTTTGCTCGTGAAAGTTCCCCAACTTTGTTCGGGAAATTCCCGTTCCGAGTTCGAAACTTTGACCTGACGGGACCGTCGGGGGCCGCCGGAACCCGGATCGGACGGACTGTCGAGTGACTCAGTGCCTCGGACTGGCAGTGCCTCGGACTGGCCGCCCGGCCCGGGCTCCAACGGCGAGTCGGCGTACTGGCCGGGCCGCACCGTCCGAGTCACGAGCCTACGGTCGCCGGCCCGGCGGGTGCGCCGCGCCCGGCCGCCGGGGGCCCGGGACCCCGGGCCGGGCCGGCCCACTGCCAGGGCGGCCCGGCGGCCGCTCAGGGCCGCCGGGCCGCGGCCCGGGCGCCGCCGTCTTGCCAGGAAGTTGCCCAGTGCCACCGCCGAGTCACGTGTGAACGGCACTCGGAGCCAGGCAGCGCGGCCTGTCACGGTGCAGCAGCGCGGCACCGTGCGCCGCCGGGGCGCGGCTCAGGCCAGTCACTGAGTGCCGCCGGCTCAGTCAGCTAGTGTGCAGTGCGGCCGCCCTGGCAAAACCCGGTGACCGGCATTCGGATGGCTCTCGCGAATGTCCAGCCTGGGAGTCATGCAGCCGCCGTGATGATGATGGCATCGCCGCATCGAATGATTGATACTATCGGATAATCAGCCTTAGAGTACAATCAGTAGAGTACATTCATTGGCCCGGCCGCTCCGAGGCCCCGACACTGGGTACGATCCGATCACAGAGGGGTGGAAGACTTGAACAGGGAGGGTTCAAGTGACGGTCAAGAACTCAACAGAAGAGCAGCACTGGAATCTGCCATGAGGTTGGCGTACTTCTTGAGGTCCTCCTTCCAATTCAACTGATCCGCCAGATCCTGCGCGTTTGCGATCATCGTAAGTGCGCCTGGGAGGGAGGAGGAGGAGAAGGAGGAGAAGGAGAAGGAGGAGGAGGAGGAGGAGGAGGAGGAGGAGGAGGAGGAGGCTTTGGGAGGAGGAGGCGGGATGACTGACAGTGAATTCGCACTCACGAGAAAGACTCTGTCAGTCTCTTCTTGAAGGAAGAAGTCTCTGTCATTCTTTTCGTAGTTCAGTCCCAGGGCTCTCCCAACC